GCGGCGGGACTTCGCAGAAGCCTTCCGGCATTCTGAGAAGTTCTTTCCGCGTCTTCGGAGGAGGCTCAGAGCACTTCCCCGAGGGCCGGGGGGCTTCCGAGCCTTCCGAGAAGGCCTTCCCCTTCACACTTCCCCCCCTTCGCTCGCCGCCAAGCAGTATAACCCTCGGACGGGTTTCCCACGGCGGCGTGCCATGGATTCGTCAGGAGGGGAAAAACACACAGACACAATGAATCGTCGATTCCCGGGAAACTATGGGAAAGCACGGGAAGTGGGGGGGAAGACGAACAACCAGCAAACAGATCAACGATAGGAAGTCCTGGGATTTGCGTCCATTCATTTGTGCGTCCTTGGGCCCCTCCAATTCTGTTTGTGCCTCTCCCCAGGAAATCCGCGCGGGCCCTCGAAAGTTTACGCTTAAGTCGAGCCTGTCCTCTACAGAAGGAATATTCAAAAATGGTTCAAAAATAGTCTGGGGGCTACGTTTTTTGTATATGTTTTGACCATTTTTGAAAATCGTTGGACCATTTCTAATTTTCCTACAAGATCGGCCTGTAGGGGGATAGGCCCGACCTAAGTCTACGCACGTTTGCGCAGCTGCGTCCTCTCCCGGAGGAGCGCGTCTTCGCCTCGAGGTTCGCGCAGCTGCGGGACGCTGTCCGCGCCTGCCTCCCCAGCGGGCTCGAGGTGGAGCTGCTGGTGCCGGACCAGGAACTGCGGGGGGCAAGAAGATACCGACGCCGCGACTCCTGGACCTCTCCAGGGGTGTCAGGGCGCCAGCATCGCAGAGCGGATTTCGTTCGGAGAACGATGGGGTGGGCCCAGGGTGTCCTGGAGAATTTCTGAATTTCTTGCGGGTTCTGTGGGGCCAGGAATGAAGACCAAAAAGAAGCCACTCGAAATTCACTTCGTTTGCCGCTCGCCGCTTCGGGCAAACATCCAGGCAGAAATCCGCTGCAGCACATTTGCAGGGCCAGTGCAATGAGGGGTGCGTTCTGACCAGAATTTCGAGGCGAATCCGTCCGTGATGACGAGGGAAGGGTTGCAGCATCGGTGCAGCGGAGGCCAGTCCATCAGAAACCTCCCAGAAGAAGCCCAACCCCGAGACCCCAGGGCGTCCATCGACTTTTGGCGTGGGAGCGTCACGCCTTCCGTCGCAGAGCCATCGAAACCCAGGAAACCCAGGAAACCCAGGGCACCCTGGAGGCAAGCAGGGTGCTTCTTGGCATGGGCCCTCGCTGTATCCCTGCCTCTCCTGCAGGAGGCGCGGCGCTCGGGCGCGGGCTCCGTGGCGCCCCTGCCGCCGGTGCGCATCGGCGCGTTCGAGGTCTTCCTGTGCGTGGCTCGGCCGCTGGTGCCCCTCGGCGCCGTGGCCCTGCCGGGAGGGTTCTCCGCGGTGGCGGTGGCCTCGCGGCTGGGGTCGCTGCGGTGGACGGAGGCGGACGAGGTGCTCAGGAGACTCGTCTCGGGGGTTGCCAAAGGTGCCCCTGGCCCGTGCCCCCAGCTTGTCGCTCCGTTTTGGAGCCCCTGGGACCCCCTGGGCCTCGTGAGGGGTGTGTTGGAGGCCGTGGAGGCCCCCTTGGAGATCCTGGGGGCACCTTGCAGGAGTCGGGGGCGGACAGAACCCCCCCCCTGACACGTCGATGAGTGAATGGTCCGTTTTCGGTTCTCGGGAGGGCGCCGCGGCCGTCATTTTCCAGGCTTGCGCCCGCTAGGTTTGGGCCCGAGGTCCGAGGCGGGAATTTCCCCGTAACCACCGCCTGGGGGGTCGATCTTCGCGGACCTCCGCAGGCGGCGGATATGGACACATTCTCTGACATATCCTGGTCCCCGTGGGCCAAAACATATCTATATCCACCGCCCGCCGGGGCACCAGGACGTCGGTTCCCAGGCGGTGGATATGGATAGATTCCCGCCTCGCATCAGGAGACTCGTCCGCGCCCTGCCCACGCTGCCCCTGCGGGTGACCGTCCGCACGGCCGCGGGCTTGCCGGTCCCCGGCGTGCGCGTCGCGGCCGCGCCGGCGGAGGAGAAGCTGCGGCAGGGTCCGGCGACGCAGGCCGGCAGCGAGGTGGTGTTCGCGGCGGAGACGGACGAGCGCGGCGAGTGCTCCGTTCCAGTGCCGCTGTGTGTGCCCTTGTCGCTGGGGGTGTCGCACAGCGTCCTGATGGCGCCCCAGCGGCGGGAGCTCCTCGCCTCCGACGCTGAGCCGCTGGAGCCGCAGGAGTTCGTGGCAGAGACGGTGGTGCAGCTCTGGCAGGTGGAGCAGGGCGCGGAGCTCCTCGTCTTCTGCGCCTCGCCGCGGGCCAGGCTCGCCCCCGAGGGCTCGGCGAGGTGCGTGCCGTTCCAGGGGCACCTGCAGCACCCGTCGCGGGGCAGGCTGCGGCCCAGCGCGAGCGGCTGCCTCCGCGGGGAGCCCGGCTTCCTGGACGGCGTGCGGGCGGTCGCCTGCGCCGGGTGGCAGAAGGCGCCGTTCCTCCCAGGGAGCCATGCGGAGGCCGTGCTGGAGGAGCCCGAGGGCGGCATGGTGCCTGCCGCGCGCCTGCCGGCCGCCACGGTGGAGGCCCAGCTCGCGGCGGGCTGCTGCCTGGCGCCTCTGCCCGGGGCGAGCGTCAGCATCGATGGCGAGCCCGTTGGCACCACGGGCGACCGCGGCGAGGCCGTGTCAGCTCCGGTGCGCGTCGCTGCGCACACCATCCAGGTGGAGCACGCGCTGGCCCGTCCTGGGCTCGCGGTGCCCTGCGTCGTGCCCAAACCGCGCTTGTGCCGGGTGCAGATCAAGTTGTCCCCCGAGCGATTGCGGCTGTTCTGCACGGCGGCCGCTGGTGAGAGTGGGTTTGCTGACCTCTGGCTCGTGGCTGGCGACTCTCGTGAGTGGCGGCGCAGCAGCCTCAGGGGGCCTCCGAAGGGCAGTGTCGTGTGGCCTTGGAACGGCGAGCTGGGTGTTGGCCCCAGCGGGCAGCTGGCGGTGAAAGACGGTATGCTGTGCAGCCCTGTCCCTGTCGCAGACGTCGGAGCTGGTGGCTGCTGGCTCGCCGCCGCGCTCGCGGCGCCGTCAGCGCTGGCGGGTGAGAGGAGCGTGGTGGCCCGGCTGAAGGACGGCCCTGGCGGTTGCCCGTTGACCCTGCTGGCCCAGCAGCCACACCTCGGGACGCCCGGCCTGTGGCTTGCCAGACTCGCGCCGACAGCGACGGGCGGTGGCGGTGTGCGCAAGCGCACCTCGTGGGCCGACGAGCAAACGACGGTCGCGGACAGGGGCGACCGCGGGCTGAGGCTGGCCTTTCGATCACAGTGCTGCCGCCGGCTCGTGTTCCATGATGCCAGTGCCGAAGTGGAGGCCGGGGGCGGGGGCTCGCTGCAGTCGCGGCCCGAATGCGGCGCGCTGGAGCTGCCATGGCCCGTCGGCGAGGAGCCCTTCGGCGTGCGGATCGCAGGTGTGCCACGCTGCCTGCTCCCAGGGTGCACGCACCACTATGCGCTGTCTGGCGCTGCGGCTCCGCGGGGGGGGGTCGAGCTGGACGCGCCGTGCCCGCTCTGGCTGTACTGGATCCCTCCACGGGACGAGGGCGCAGAGCTCGAGGTAGGCGAGGGGGAGGAGAACTGCATCTTCGTCGCTGTCAATGAGGAAGACGTGCCCGCCGTGGCGCGGCCGCTGCACGGTGTGCTGGAATGCCCTGGGTCAGATTGCCCAGAGACGCCACTGGACGGCTGCAGCCTGGGGCCCTTTCCGCTCCGCGCCCCAGTCGGCAGCTGGCACGACGCTGCGGAATCCCCCTGCTTGCTCCAGCGGCTAGCGCTGAACCTGAACCCGCCCGCCGGCCTGATACACTTCCCGCTGGAGCCCTCGCCTCTGCAGGAGCCCGGTGATCAGGCTGATTGCCAGCTGCAGCGGCTGTCCAGAGGACCAATCAAGATGGGCGCGTTCTGCCCGACACCGCCGCCAGCACCGCTGCGGCTGGAGCTCGCTTCCAGCTGCTGCGGCCGCCGGGTCTGCGGCGCCCAGGTGGACGTGGATGGCCAAGCAGCGTCGGCGCTGGACCTTGACGTGGGCATCTATCGAGTGCCGCAGCCCAGGCGCAAGCGTCAGCAGGGCAGTGGCGAGATGCGCCTTCGGATCGGCGGGGTGCCCCGCTGCCTGCTACCTGGCGGATCGAGTGCACTGTTCGCCCCCTTCGGCCCGTTCGAGCCGGAGACTCTGAGGGTGCCGGTGTCGTGCTCCCTCTTCGTGTACTGGGTTCCGCTCGCGGACTCGGATGACCCCCACAGGGAGGCCGTGGTCGTCGAGGACGGGACCCCTGAGCCGGACATGCCCTCGCGGCCGGTGGTGATCACAGCTGATGCTGATGGGATACCGGCTGACGCGCAGCCAGTGCAAGGGGCGCTAAGGGCGCTCGAGTGCGCCGCAGTGGCTGGGGCCAGCGCGGGTGACTCGAGGCGCTCCAGTGCCCCGAGGCGCTCGACTGTCTCGAGCTCGCGCGCCGCCGTGGACCCTGGGGAGCTCGAGTGCCCCTCTGTGGTGCTTGACGGGCGCTCGTTGGGGCCCTTTGGGCCGCCGTGCCCTGGTGCGGCGGGAACGCCAGACAGTGAGGACCCAGACGCCGTGCGATGCCCCTTGGCGGACGCCACACTGCAGCTGTCGCCGCCGCCAGGCTTCCGCCTGGCTGCCTGCGACACCGAGGACCCGTTCGGACGCTCGGAAGGCGGCTGCGGGCTGCTGCGCCTTGCCGCGGATGGCGCGGCGGAGGCTGGGCGGTTCGAGATGGTTCCAGCGCCCCTGCTCACGGTCAAGCTGCGCACAGGGTGCTGCGGCTGCAGCTTCCGCGGCGTGAGCGCGATTGTCAACGGCGGCGTCAGAGCCTCTCTCGGCAACGAGGGCTGCCTGCGGGTTCGCCGTGCGCGCCAGGGAGGCAATCTCGGCTTGGTGCTCGAGGGTATTCCTCCCGCGCTGCTGCACGGTGGCCAGGCACAGCTCGACATTCCATATGGGGCCACCGAGCCAGAAGTCGTGGAGATGGGCGTGCTGAGCCACCTGTGGCTCTACTGGGTTCCCCCGGACGACTTTGGCAAGCCAGAGGGGGACCTCGAGGACCCGCAGCCTGGCGAGGGGCTGGTCTTCGTCACAGCGAACCCCGACCACATCCCCGAAGGCGCGAGGCCAGTGGCGGGCACTCTGGACAGCCGAGGCGGAGGCGGCAGGAAGATCGTGCTGAACGGCAAGAGCATGGGGCCCTTCAAGATCCCCACCATGGCCAGCTCGGGTCTCCCCCTCCCGCCTGGTCTTCACCCAGACCTGCTTGGCCAGCTGAGCCAGAGGCAGGTGGAAGCGGAGGAGGGCCCTTGCTCCCTCTCCCGGGTGCGCCTCCGGTTCAAGCCGCCCACGGGCTACGAATACCAGGGGCTCGCGCCGTCCCCGCTGGAGGACCGACGACACAGAAGAGTGACCTTTCGCCAGAGTGACCTATGCTACGAAGGGATGGGTTTTCCTAGTGAGTTTGGTTTTTTCCCACATTTTGGGTTCTTTCCTGGCAAGCTGCTTGGAAATCTTTTTGTGGGAGATGGCATGTCTGAAAGGCCAAAACATGTTCAGAAGCTCCTGAGAGGCTCCTAGTAGCTTCTGACAGGCTGCCTAAAGTCTGCCAGGGGGCTCCTCAGAAGCTCAGTCGAGACTCCTTGGGGCTTCAGAGGCTTCTGAGAGGCTCTTTCAGGGTGCTCTTCCAGAGTCCCTAATATTGACGAGGAGTTCAAAGGATTCTTGAAGAATGTTGGTGGTTCCTCAGGGGTTCATGGCTTCGTACGGGAGGTGGAGGTAGTAGTAGTAGTAGTAGTAGTAGTAGTAGTAGTAGTAGTAGTAGTAGTAGTAGTAGGAGTAGGAGTAGGAGTAGTAGTAGGAGTAGTAGGAGTAGTAGTAGTAGTAGTAGTAGTAGTAGTAGTAGTAGTAGTAGGTCGTAGTAGTAGTAGTAGTAGTAGTAGTAGTAGTAGTAGTAGTAGTAGTAGTAGTAGTAATAGTAGTAGTAGTAGTAGTAGTAGTAGTAGTAGTAGTAGTAGTAGTAGTAGTAGTAGTAGTAGTAGTAGTAGTAGTAGTAGTAGTAGTCGTAGTAGTACGTAGTCGTAGTCGTAGTCGTAGTAGTAGTAGTCGTAGTCGTAGTCGTAGTAGTAGTCGTAGTAGTAGTCGTAGTCGTAGTCGTAGTTCGTAGTCGTAGTCGTAGTAGTAGTAGTAGTAGTAGTAGTAGTAGTAGTAGTAGTAGTAGTAGTAGTAGTAGTAGTAGTAGTAGTAAGTACTAGTAGTAGTAGTAGCTAGTATAGTAGTAGTAGTAGTAGTAGTAGTAGTAGTAGTAGTAGTAGTCGTAGTAGTAGTAGTAGTAGTAGTAGGGTTGACCTCCGTCTGTTTGCCCAAGGGCGCGCCTGGCGCCGCTGGCGCGCCTGGCGCGCCTGGCGCACCTGGCGCACCTGGCGCACCTGGCACACCTGGCGCACCTAGCGCCGCTGGCGCACCTGGCTCACCTGGCGCACCTGGCGCGCCTGGCGCACCTGGCGCGCCTGGCGCGACTGGCGCACCCGGCGCACCTGGCGCACCTGGCACACCTGGCGCACCTGGCGCACCTGGTGCATCTGGCGCGCCTGGCGCACCTGGCGAACCTGGCGCGCCTGGCGTGACTGGCGCGCACGAAACATACACGAAAAGTATACGAAACGTATACGAACCGTATCCGAAACGTATCCGAAACGTATACGAAACGTATACGAAACGTATACGAAACGCATAAGAACCGTATCCGAAACATATACGAAACATATACGAAACAGATACGAACCGTATCCGGAACGTACACGGAACGTTTACCAAACGTATACCAAACGTATACGAAGCATATACGAAACGTATACGAGACATATACGAAACATATACGAGACACATATACGAAACACATACGGAACATATACGAAATATATACGAAACGTGTGCGACACATATACGAAACATATGCGAACCATATACGAAGCATACACGAAACATATACGCAACATGTACACACTATGTACGAAACATATGCGAAACATACACGAAACATGGACGAAACATATACAAACCATATACGAACATGTACGAAACATTTACGAAACATCTACGAAACATCTACGAACCACATACGAGACATATACGAAACATACACGAAACATATATGAAACATCTACGAACCGCATCCGAAACAGACACGAAACATATACGAAACATATACGAAACGTATCCCAAACATATGCAACACATATACGAAACACACACGACACATATACGAAACATATACGAAACGTACACGAACCATGTACGAGACATGTATACGAAATATACGCGAAACACATACGACACATATACGGAACACATACGGAACATATACGAAACATAAGCGAACCATTTACGAACCATATACGAAACATATACGAAACATACACGAAAGAAAACATACACGAAACGTATACGAACCATATACGACACATACACGAACCATACACGAAACATGTACAACTTATATACGAAGCATCGACAAAACATATACGGACCGTTTACGAAACGTCAGGGAAACATATACGAAACACGACACATATACGAAGCATCGACGAAACATCGGCGAAACATCTACGACATATATACGAAACATGTACGAAACATGGACATCGCATAGACGAGGCAAATACGAAACGTATGCGAAACGTATACGAAACGTATACGAAACATGAAGAGAAACATAAGCGAACCGTATACGAAACATCTACGGGACATCATATACGACACATATACGAAACACGCACGAAACGTACACGAAACGTACGCGAAACGTACACGAACCATGCACGAGACAGATACGAAACATATGCGACGCATATATGAAACATATACGGAACGTGTACGAAACGTATACGAAAGTATACGAAACGCATGCGACACGTATACGAAATGTATACGAAACGTATACGAAACATATACGAAACGTATACGAACCATATACGAAACATATACGACACATACACGACACATACACGACACCTATACGAAACATATGCAAAACGTATACGAAGCAGATACGAACACATACGGACCATATACGAAAAGTATACGAAGCATATACGAAACATATGCGGCATATCGACGAAACATATACGAACCATATACGAGGCATATACGACACATCTACGAAACAGATACGGACCATATGCGAAACATGTACGGCACATATACGAAACCTGTACGAAACCTACACGAAACATATACGAAACATTTACGAACCATACACGAACCATATACGAAACAGATACGAAACATGTCAGACACATGCACGAAACGTATACAAAAACATACACGAAACATATACGAAACGCGCACGGCGCGTCCGCGACACAGAATCCTTACATTTTCTTTACATTCCTTACACCAGATTTATTGGGCAAACAGAAGGAGGTCAGTCCTAGTAGTAGTAGTAGTAGTAGTAGTAGTAGTAGTAGTAGTAGTAGCAGTAGTAGTAGTAGTAGTAGTAGTAGTAGGACTAGTCGTAGTAGTAGTAGTAGTAGTAGTAGTAGTAGTAGCAGTAAGTAGTCGTAGTAGTAGTAGTAGTAGCAGTAGTAGTAGTAGTAGTAGTAGTGGTAGTAGTAGCAGTAGTAGTAGTAGTCGTCGTGGTAGTAGTGGTAGTAGAGGTAGTAGTGGTAGTAGTCGTAGTAGTTGTAGTACTCGTGGTAGTAGTAGTAGTAGTAGTAGTAGTAGTAGGATGTGTAGTCGTTGTAGTCGTCGTAGTAGCAGTAGTAGTAGTAGGGGTAGTGGGTAGTAGTAGTAGTAGTCGTAGTAGGTAGTAGTAGTAGTAGTAGTAGTAGTAGTAGTAGTAGTAGTAGTAGTCGTAGTACTCGTAGTCGCAGTCGTAGTAGTAGTAGTAGTAGTAGTAGTAGTTGTTGTCGTAGCCGTAGCCGTAGTCGTAGTCGTAGTCGTAGTCGTAGTCGTAGTAGCAGTGGTAGTAGTAGTAGTAGTAGTAGTAGTAGTAGCAGTCGTAGTAGCAGTAGTAGTAGCCGTAGTAGTAGTAGTAGTAGTAGTAGTAGTAGCAGTAATAGTAGTAGTAGTATTATGCGTAGTAGTAGTAGTAGTAGTAGTAGTAGTAGTAGTAGTACTAGTGTTCGTAGTAGTAGTAGTAGTAGTAGTAGTAGTAGTAGAAGTAGTAGTGGTAGTAGTGGTTGTCGGCGTAGTCGTCGTAGTAGTTGCACTACTCGTGGTAGTAGTGGTAGTAGGTGCAGTAGGAGTAGTAGTAGTAGGAGTTGTAGGAGTGGTACTAGTAGTAGTCGTCGTAGTCGTAATCGTAGTCGTAGTCGTAACAGTAGTAGTAGCAGTAGTAGTAGTAGTAGTAGTAGTAGCAGTCGTAGTAATACTAGTAGTAGTAGTAGTAGTAGTAGTAGTAGTAGTAGTAGTAGTAGTAGTCGTAGTCGTAGTCGTAGTCGTAGTCGTAGTCGTAGTCGTAGTCGTAGTAGTAGCAACAGTAGTAGTAGTAGTCGTCGTCGTAGTAGTAGTCGCAGTAGTAGCAGTAGTAGTCGTAGTAGCCGTAGTAGTAGTAGTAGTAGTAGCAGTAGTCGTAGTTATAGCAGTAGTAGCAGTTGTAGTCGTAGTAGTAGTCGTAGTCGTAGTAGTAGTAGTAGTAGTAGTAGTAGTGGTAGTAGTAGTAGTAGTAGTCGTCGTGGTAGTAGCAGTAGCAGTAGCAGTAGCCGTAGTCGTAGTCGTCGTAGTAGTATTAGTACGGTAGGTTTGCGTCGTGTCGACCAGCGGCGACCCCAGCGTGGGCGTTCAAGGTTGAACGCCGCTGGCGACCCAGAATCGATCGACGTTGAACGATCGGACGTTGCGGCAGCGGCCGATCGTTCAAGGTTGAACGATCCCTGCGGTGTCAAAAACCAACGCTGGGGTCGGCACGACACGAACCTGCCGTAGTGGTAGTGGTCGTAGTAGTAGCAGAAGCAGTAGTCGTAGTCGCAGTCTTAGTCATAGTCGTAGTCGTGGTCGACGTCGCGGTCGTGGTCGTGGTCGTCGTCGTAGACGTAGTCGTAGTCGTAGTCGTAGTCGTATTCGTAATAGTAGTAGTAGTAGTAGTAGTAGTAGTAGTAGTAGTAGTAGTAGTAGTGTTCGTAGCAGCCGTAGTAGTAGTAGTAGTAGTAGTAGTAGTAGTAGTAGTAGTAGCAGTAGTAGTAGTAGTAGTAGTAGTAGTAGTAATAGTAGTAGTAGTAGTAGTAGTAGTAGTAGTAGCCGCAGTAGTAGTAGTAGCAGTCGTAGTCGTAGTCGTAGTAGTAGTAGTAGTAATAGTAGTAGTAGTAGTCGTCGTAGTCGTAGTCGTAGTCGTAGCCGTAGTAGGAATCGTAGTAGTAGTAGTAGTAGTAGTAGTAGTCGTCGT